TGATGAACGAGCGCAAGGTAGACGCGCAAGTGGGATCAGGGATGATGGATGGGAATAGAGATGAGGAAGGAAGGGATTACGAATAGAAGTAATAATGCGGAGGCATGCGAGAGGAATGTCTATACGCGTACGATGAATATGCAAGGGGTGTAATCGTCATGGTAAACGAGAGAGGAAAAATTGGTGGTGATTGTTGCCGTTATTGCATCTCCTCTGTATTTGCCGCGGGTATTGTCTCTGTATAAACAACCATAATTATAAGACAAACATGAAGATACAAAGTTAAGTTTTGTTTTGTATCTGCGTTGCCCTTTTACGATATATATATATATTTTTGTCAGGTTGAAAAAAGAAATGTATTGACAGACGAGAGATTGTGTAATAGAAGGCGGTTTATTTGATTTTATCTTGTACTATTTCAATTAGCGGCGACAGCAGTAGTTTTTAAAGGCATTTTCTAACTGCGGGCAAATATCTCTTATAAAGCAATTCCTTAGCCTTTGAAGGAAACAAAGATCTCGTAGACACATTTGGCTTTACTTTACAGACAAATGTTTGCCATACACATGTTTACAAGTTGCACATACTCTCACCCATACTCATGTCCTTCTCATTTTTATACTCATACTCATTCACACACACACGCAAACGCACGCACACACACGCACGCACGCACGCACGCACGCACGCAAACACCCACCCACCCATCCATTCACCCACACACACACACACACACACACATACACACATACACACATACACACACACACACACACACACACACACACACACACACACACACACACACACACACACACACACACACACACACACACACACACACACGTATATCTATCAAAAAACCTCCCCCGCAGCAATGTCAAAGAAATAGAGGCGTCGCGCCAGGGTTTCGGATACGGCCTATACGGACTATGAAAAAAAAAGGAAATGCGGATATCGGAATTCGAATACGGACGACAGATATCCGAGCTGGAAGTCCTGAAGTCGACGAGCCTGCCTGCCTGCCTGCCTGCCTGCCGCTGCTGCCTCCGGGCCATCCCTACCCCCCCTCTGTCACGCGTTTACTTCTGCCAACTGTTGTCAAGGCTTCGAGGTGTCAGCACGGTATTGATTCGGGCCGGATGTGAAAAAGTTCCCACCTCCCGCCGTTAATTGGTTCGGGGGCAAAACATTTCTGAGTTGTGGCGTAACTTGTGTTGTTGTAAAAGTGAAACGTGTTGGGGGGGGGGGGGTCTAGCCTGCGAGACAGATCCTAAACATATGTTGCGATTGGGAATTTCCTGTGGGCGTTTTTTTTTTTTTTTTTTTTTTTTTTTTTTTTTTTTTTTTTTTTTTTTTTTGAGAGGGAGAGAGAGAGAGGGAGAGAGAGAGAGAGAGAGAGAGAGAGAGAGATGAGAGAGAGAGAGAGAGAGAGAGAGAGAGAGAGAGAGAGAGAGAGAGAGAGTGAGAGAGTGAGAGAGAGAGAGAGAGAGTGAGAGAGGGTTAGGGAGAGTCAGGGAGGGAGAGAGGGTTAGGGAAAGTCAGGAAGAGAGAGTCAGGGAGAGAGAGAGGGAGAGTCAGGGAGAGAGAGAGGGAGAGTCAGGGAGAGAGAGAGAGAGAGAGTCAGGGAGAGAGAGAGAGAGAGTCAGGGAGGGAGAGAGAGAGAGTCAGGGAGAGAGAGAGAGAGAGGTCAGGGAGAGAGAGAGAGAGAGAGTGTCAGGGAGAGAGAGAGAGAGAGAGTCAGGGAGAGAGAGAGGGAGAGTCAGGGAGAGAGAGAGGGAGAGTGAGTGAGTGAGTGATTGAGAGTGAGAGTGATTATATAAACCTTCCCCCTCCCAGCATACACACTGAATTCCGCTTAATTAGTTTAGAAATCTGAAGCCTGATCATGAAGCGACTAAAAAAAAAAAAAAAAAAAAAAAATATTAACGTGATAAACTAACATCGTTCTCATACAATTACGGCTTTATTCTAGTTAGTGAACCGGTGATATTTTCCGCCGATGATTAATTGCTGTTATTTTCTCTTATCATTTGATTTGTGTGCCGCTGGTTATGATTTATTCTTTAGTTCACGGATTTTGTGTTTATTTGTATTTATTTATGTATATACTTATTTATTTATTTATCTTGCTCTCGCCTCTTCGCTTTTGGATGTGTTATTTGTTGTTTTGGTGAACGGGGGAACTTGATGTTGTATTTCTATTTACCGTATAACAAAAGTCATTTGTAAAAATAGTCATGGCAGATTAATATCATTAGAGGCATGAACAAGAAATCATGTAGGCCTACGAAATATCAGTCGTGTGATTAGCCTCTTCTACTTACAACTACTTATAAACAGACGATCGGTCGAATAGACGACGTAAGGGCACGGTTGGTGAACTCTGAGCACTGGGTGGAGGGAAACGCAAGCTCCGTGGCACCGTGGCACTGTTCACGCGAGGGACTGACAGAGTGCCACCACTTGGCATACCCGCTCTGTCCTCTCACCCTGTTCCTCTCCTGGTCTGACCTGTGGCCTTGGGTGGTTCCATTGGTTGGTGGTGGCTGCTCGGCCTGTCTCCCCCCCCCCCTGGCTACCCCCGCCATCCTGCCGTGCCGATATCCAACCGAGTCTGCCTCCCCTCCCTCCCTTCCCTCCCTTCCCTCCCTTCCCTCTTTCTCGTACCTGGTATCTCTCCCCTACCCTTGTCTATCTCCCCCCCCCCTTCCCTCCTCTTCTCTTCGTGGCATTCTCCTTTCTCCTCTTTCCCCCCTCTCCTCTCCTACGTCATTTCTTACCTCCTCGCAGTAGAACCCCCCGTCTAGGAAGAGAGTGAAGAAGAGAAGAGGGGGCGAGGGAGGGAAAAAAACGGAAAGAAGAGAGGAGGAGAGAGAGGAGAGAAGAGATAGAGGAAGCAGATCGCTCAGCATCACCCGATGATATATCAGAAAGACCTAAAATCACGCAAGCCCGTCCACGCCGCCCGCCTCATTCCTCACCTCCTCTATACCTCTTCTTCCCTCCATTCCTGCAACTCCTTGATCCGAAATTCCCCCATCACCTCTCCTTCATCCCTTCTACTTTCCTGTTCTCGACCTAATCCATCCTATTAGTGCCCCTATTGGTCCTGTCTCATACCCTGTGCCTGCCAGCATCATATCCCCGAACATCAACCCCTTACCTCGATGAGCTGCGATCGCCTTCTTCTCTCCTTGTCTTCTCACTTATATGGCACTAATTGCTTACATTCTTTTCCCATTTTCCATTATCTTCCTCACTCATCCTCTCTTCGTCCTCTCCATTTCCTTTTCACACCCATTCTCCGTCTCTCTGGTTGTTCATTGTCGATATATACTTCTATTTAAAGCCCCCCCCCATCCCCCCCCCCCTCCCCGACCCACTTCCCCGATAAAACTTTACCTTGAATCAGTACCTATACAGCCCTGTGTTGTCGGAGCACAGTATTGGCAGTGGGGATGTACTCGTTCGTAATGTGTGGGTTGTGTGTGGTTGTGGGTGTTTTTCACTGCGTTTATTTCGGTTTCTTCGTTCTCTTCTCTCTCTAGCTCTCTCTCTCTCTCTTTTCTCTCATATCTCGCTCCTCCTCTCTCTCTATCTTCTATTCCAATCTCCTTTTCTCTCTCCTCTCTTCTACTCTCGCCTCTCTCTCTCTCTCTTCCTCTCTCTCCTCCTCTTCCACCCTCCCTCTCTCCTCTCCTCTCTCTCTCTTCTCTCTTCTCTCTTCTCTTATTTCTCTTTTCTTTCTCTTTCCTTCTTTCTCTCTCTCTATCTAGCATCTCTCTCTTCTTTCTCTCTTCTCTCTTCTCTCGTCTCATCTTCTCTCTCTCGCTCCTCTTACTCTCTATCCCTCCCTATCTCCCTCCTTTCTCTCTTCTCTCCTCTCTCTCTCTCCTCTCTCTCTCTTCTCTCTCTCTCTCTTTCTCATCTTCTCACTCTCTCTCTGTCTCTCTCTTCTCTCTCTTTCTCTCTCTTTCTCTCTCCTTTCTCCCTTACTCCTTCTACTTTCTCTACTCATCCACTCTCCGAGCCCGCACCGCACACCACGCACCACACACACAAAAACGCACACACACACACACACACACACACACACAGACACACACACACACATACACACCACACAACAAAAGCACACGTACACGTACACGACACAATCATACACGGACCGCAAACACGCACGTAGAAAGTCTTCGATCTCTCTTGTATCTCGTTCTTATTCAGAAAGAAGAAAGACCATTTTAACATCTGCCCCCCACCCGCTCACACCCACCCTGCCCATGAACGGCCTTTGGCCTTAACTATACAGGTAAATGGGACACGAGGGCTGAGGTTCGAGACGGTCTGATCTATGGGACGCTCAAGTTAAGGTCATTTAGAAGGAGGGAGGGAGGGGGAGAGAGGGAGAGGGAGAGCCAGAGACGGACAGCAGGGCAGGAGACAGAGAACGCCCCGAGAGGGGAGCGCCGCACGAGCTAGGAGGAGAGAGGAAGAGGAGAGAGAGAGGGTAGCTCTTTGTGAGAGGAGGGAAGAGGGAAAAGGGAGAGCGAGAGGAAGATGAGCGCGAGAGAGCGAGCCGAGCGCGAGAGCGAGAGCGCGAGAGTAGAGCGCGAGGGGAGAGCGAGAGAGGTCAGACCGAAGACGCAGCACGACGGCCCGAGAGCCGACGACGAGGGAGAGCGAGAGAGGGAGAGCGACCCTGCCGATGAGGGAAGAGCGAGAGAGGGAGAGCGAGAGAGGAAGAGGGAGAGGGAGAGCGAGAGAGGAAGAGGGAGTGCGAGAGCGAGAGAGGGAGAGCGACAGAGGGAGAGCGACAGAGGGAGAGCGAGAGGGCGAGAGCGAGAGAGGGAGAGCCAGAGGGAGAGAGAGATAGATTAAGTCCCATGTCCCTTGCCCATTGTTCGGGGTTTATTAAGAGGTCGGCGTGCGGGGGGGGGGGGGGAGATGTGGAGAGAGGGATATATTTGCTTGTCTTTTTATTTGTTTGTTTATTTGTC